AAACTGGAGCTTGAGCAACTGTGAAGATATACCCATATGTGCTTTTCCTCTCATCAATGTCTCTATTCCAATCTGAGTCAGAATATCCTAACAGAACATCACCTTTCAGCTGATTAACACCTGGTAATAGAACACCATAGTCTGTAGTGCCTCTGACATATCTCAACACCCTTTTAATTGCATTAAAATGAGATATTTTTGGTCTCTCCATGAATCTACTCAGAAGGCCTACACTATAGCTTAAATCAGGCCTGCTGTGACATAAAAATCTCAAACTACCAATTATCTGCTTATAGAGTGTTGAATCAACCTCCTTTTCATCTGCACTCTTTCCAAGTTTCAAACTTGATTCAGCTGGTGTAGTGGCTGGGTTGCAATTTTCCATTCTAAACCTTCTAAGAATATCCAATGCATACCTTCTCTGATGAAACATAATGCCCTTTTCTGTATAAGAAAATTCAATACCAAGAAAGTATGATAACTTTCCCAGGTCACTCATTTCAAATTCTGATTTCATTTCTTCTTTGAATGCCTCCACCAGTACTTCATTATCACCAGTCACTAATAGATCATCAACATATAGGCATACAATGAGTGAACCATCTGTCAAGTGTTTAGAGTAAACTCCATGTTCAACTTTACATTTCAGAAAACCTTGCTTGTCAAAGAAACTGTCTATCCTTCTATTCCAAGCCCTAGGGGCTTGCTTGAGTCCATATAGAGCTTTATTTAGTCTAAACACTTTACCTTCTTCACCTTTTATTACAAAACCAGGTGGTTGTGTAACATAAACCTCCTCTTCCAATGGCCCATTCAAGAATGCAGACTTTACATCCATTTGTTGCAAACTCCAGCCTTTCAGATTTGCATATGCCACTATTGTCCTGATTGTTTCAATCCTTGCTACAGGAGCATACACTTCTTTATAATCAACCCCTTCTTTCTGCAAAAAACCTTTTGCAACTAACCTTGCTTTGTGTTTAGCTACTGTCCCATCTGGTTTCAGCTTTGTCTTAAATACCCATTTGACTGTAATGGGTTTTTTATGATTAGGAATTGTGCAGAGTACCCAGGTTTTGTTTTTCTCTATTGCCTCCAGTTCTTCTACCATTGCTGCTTTCCACTTTGGATCCTGACATGCCTCTTCCACAGTTACAGGCTCCACATCAACAAATAGTGCAAAGTGTACTAGATCTCCATCATCAGCAATTTCATCATCTCTGAGTATTTCAAAATCATTCAACCTTACTGATCTCTTCCTGTTCCTGGTTGGTCTAACATCCATGTATTGATCATTATCATTATTATACTCAACTTCCAGTTCTTGAGCTGGACCTGACTCACTTCCTAGTGTAGCCAACCTCTCTCTTAATGAACAATAATTCCCAGTCTGTCTTAGATCAGTTGTCTCCCAATTCCACTGAGCAGCCTCATCAACAATAACATCCCTGCTAACCACAATCTTCTTACTACTTGGATCATAAAGCTTATAACCACCAGTAGTATGATAGCCAACCAGAATCATTTTCTCACTTTTATCACTCAATTTCCTCCTTTTCTCATCAGGTATGTGTCTGTAGCAAATAGATCCCAAAATCTTCAAATGCCTGACACTAGGTTTCCTCCCAGACCACATTTCTTCAGGTGTTACATTCTTTAATCTCTTTGTGGGACACATATTCAATATATATACTGCAGTAGCAACAGCCTCACCCCAAAAACTGTGTGGAAGGTTCTTTGTTTTTAACATACTTCTAGCCATATTCAACACTGATCTATTACGCCTTTCTGCTATTCCATTATGCTGTGGGGTGTATGGAGGAGTAATCTCATGCATAATACCCTGCTCTCTACAAAACCTAGCAAAGTCATCATTAACATATTCTCCCCCACCATCTGTCCTTAGTATTTTTAAGTACTTTCCAGTCTGCTTTTCAACCAGATTTTTGAATTTCACAAAGATATCAAACACTTCCAACTTCCTTCCCAACAAGTACACCCACATCTTCTTACTGAAATCATCAATAAATGAGATGAAATATTTATTACCTCCAAGGGATGGTACTTCAAATGGGCCACAAACGTCTGAGTACACCATCTCCAAAATATCACTTGTTTTGGAAGGAAGCCAGGTTTTAAATGGATTTCTAGCTTGCTTGCCCACCATACATCCATCACATATCTGACTGGTTACTGCAATTGAAGGGAGCCCTTTCACCATTCCTTGACTTGAGAGCTGAGCCAAGCTTTTAAAATTCAGATGTCCCATTCTGAGATGCCAAAGCCAGTTATCATCTGTAACCACAGTAGATAGACATACTCTCTGAACTGGAGTAATATTGACCTGAAATGTCCTATTCTTCATCAGTGGTGCTTTGAGTATCAAGTGACCCTCAGGGCTGTAGATTGCCATGGATTTATCCTTCAATTTGATCTCAAAATTCTTCTCAGTCAATTGGCCCAAGCTTAGCAGGTTATGCCCAAGATTTGGAACATAGAGAACATCTGAAATTATTGATACTCTCCCATCCTTTCTCTTAATCTGCACCTTACCCTTGCCTTCTGCCATGATTGTGGTCATATTTGCACATGTGATCTTGTTTTTGACATTCTCATCCAATTCTGCAAACCATTTACTTCTACAACTCATGTGATTGGAACATCCTGAGTCTAAGTACCAGAAATCAAGTGATTTTTCCTGAGACTTAGAGTCAGTTGTTACCATTAGTAATACATTATCTTCATCAGATTCTTCCTTCTTAGCAACATGTGCTTCCTGCTCTCTATCAGACTGATGTGGTTTCCACCAACATTCATTTGCATAATGACCAAACTTTTCACAGTTATAACATTGAATGCCACTTTTATCATGATACTGCCTATCATTCGTACCTCTTCCACGAGTTCCTCTCCAAGGATTTCCTCTTCCTCGTCCACCACCTCTTTTATAAGAGGGTTCACCTTGTTCAAATCTACTGTTATTGAAATCTCTGCCTCTACCTCGTCCACCACGCAGAGTGGTTCTCCCTCTGCCACGACCTCTGCCTCGGGAGCCCTTTTCCTTCTCATCTTTCCGGTTTGTGGACTGGGTAAGCAAAACTTGATCAGCAGCAGCCTGAGTGGATTCACGAGATTCACGTTCCTTGGCTCGTTGTTCATAGAGTTCAAGAGAACCTTGTAACTCCTCAATCTTGATCTCATCAAGATTTCGTGTCTCCTCAATCGCACTGGCTAGAAAATCAAACTTGCAATTTAGGGTTCTGAGAATCTTTTCAGCGAACGCCTTATCTGTGAAACTTTCTCCACAGGTCTTCATATTGTTGATCAAAGTCTGCACGCGAGTGAAATACGCAGCAACGGATTCATTTTTCTCCATCTGAATCAACTCATACTGTCTTCTTAGAGTTTGAATACGCACTGCCTTCAATTTCTCTACCCCAGCGTAGCTTCGTGCCAAAGTATCCCAGGCTTCTTTTGCACTCTTTGCGCCAGATATCTTCTCAAAATTTGCGTCATCAATACACTGTTGGATATAGAATAGAGCCTTGTAATCCTTCTTCTTCAGGTCTCTGTTCTGAGCCCGTTGTGCCTCAGTTGCATTAGCAGGGATTTCTGGACAACCATTCAAGACTACATCAAGAACTTCCTGATAACCAAAGATCGTCTTCATCTTAATACACCAGCGATCATAACCATCTAAGTTCTTACTGTCCAGCATCGGCAAATTTCCGAGCAAATTTCCGTTCGCCATTGTTACACAGGCCGATCTTGAAGCTCTGATACCACTTCTTGGAGCTAAAACTGAACGAACGTAGAAGAGAGATATATCAATGAGGCAACTAACTTCTGTTATTCATCAACCAAAGCATTATATCCGTCTTTACATCATAACAAACTCATATATGGATCTAAGTCCACTTATTACATGGGCTGCAAAGTACAAAAGCCCAACAATACAAATGATGCAGAATTAACTACTACACAACAGGAACGAGCTGAGCACTGGAACCGAGCAAGGCCTGCTTGGGACTTGGACCCGGACTTTGTCCATTTCTAGACCATACATTGTCTAAAAACAGGGTGAAGCAAAATGGGTTGCATCTAAAAGCAGGCAGAAGCAGAATGAACAACCCTCATAGCCCACTTGACCATTTTTTAAGAGACTTATGATTATAATTTAAAAAACAAGAATGACAAATAGATATGAACATCATGATGAAAATGAGCAATAATAACAAAAGAATACTAAGAAAACCTCACGACTATGCAAATCTGGATGTACAATATAATTGGCACTACACATAACTACATGAGGGTCACAAATTGTGCACCGTGAAGTTGAAAACTCGAATATCACTGGGGGGGGGGGGGGGGGGGGTACTGCCAACATGAAGGGTAAGTAGGGGCGGGCGCAGTCCGGTCCGGTCCAATATTTGGCCGAACTCGTACCCGTACCGTTACTATTCAAACGGTTCAGTTCGGTTCGGTCTTAGACCTAAACCCGTTCGGTACGGTTTCATTTTGAAACGGGACGGTATCATGTCATACCAATACCAAACAATGCCACTTTTTCCAAGTGTTTAAGAGACAATTAAAGTTTAGTCATCCTTCAAAAATCTACACAATTTATCAATTTTCATACTCATTCCATCCCAAATTGACATGCAAAGTCAATATTTTTTGGTCAACCAATGTTGGAGTTAAATTCTCTTCATTGATAATTAATTCAATTTGTAATAATTGAAATAAACATATTCAGAAACTACATTGAAATTTTTTCAAAGTTGCAAGCTCCAAATTAAATATAATTAAAAATTGACATTCTAGTTAAGTGAATAAAATGAATCTGTTTGACAAAAAAATTAATTTTGCAAATCAATTTGGGACGAAGGTAGTATTACATAATTAATAAATTTCAGATAAATTATAGTAGTACAAATTTAAATGATTAAACCATACATCGGTCCGATTCCAGGCTTCCTATGAACTAGCAAAGACGGTGAAAATGTAAAGGCACTAGTCAAAATAATGGTATAAATGTAAATTTAAATAATTAAATCATACTTCGGTCCGGTTCGATCCGGTTTCGGTTCTCATTTTATGAGAACCGGTCATGGCATTGTTTAGAATCGGTACGGTTCGGTTCGGGACAAAAAAATTGAGATCCGTTTCAAACCCCGTTTTTCGGTCCGGTACCATATCGGTTCGGTTCGGTACCATGCCGGTTCAGTATTTTTGCCCACCCCTAAGGGTAAGGCACAAGAATGGCTGGAATTCAAATTAAATGTCATGTTTATTTTTTGTTGAACAGAGGCTTTGGCTTATGAACAGAATAAGTAACTTTACAGACCCAGGTTAAGCGTACAAAAGGGAGCTCCTCAATTGACATACAGTAATGAAGAGTGAAACCAAAGTTCTCCTGGTTGTCATCATTAAAGAATGTCAGAGGTCTCGATCATCCGTCAGCATGCTCTAAGAAAACAGCGTAGTTAACTAATCGGAGGAAGATGACGATTCATCCAAAGCATCAGAGGCAGAGGATGGTTCATCCAAAGCATCAGAGGCAGAGGATGGTTCATCCAAAGCATCAGAGGCAGAGGATGGTTCATCCAAAGCATCAGAGGCAGAGGATGGTTCATCCAAAGCATCAGAGGCAGAGGATGGTTCATCCAAAGCATCAGAGGCAGAGGATGGTTCATCCAGAGCCTCGAGCAATCTACGGTTAGCAGATTTTGTCCGGTAACACCACACTTCAAATGCCTCACTCAGGTCTGGATATTTCACATACTCTCCACTACTCATCCAATCAGCCAATATTTCAGCCTGGTTGTTTGATGGCAATGCAGAAACCAATGACACAATTGCCCCCTCAATGGTCTCTGACAGCTCTTCCTCCATCCTATAAGGGAACTCTATATCTTCATTTCCCATTGAATCAAGAAGAAGCTTCATTTTCCTCACATACGGAAGCCACGCCTTTAGGAGTTGTGCCCTGGCAGGTGGTGGAAGAATTAAGGTACCATAACCTACAGCATCTAAAACTTTTGAGGTGACCTCTAGTAGCTTCACCTTTAAGTCCCACATAATAGAATGGACTCTTTTGTCCTCTACAACTGTCAAGACACAGTTAGATACATCGGTCCAACGTGCTACAAAATCTTTCATTAAACCTGTCTTCATGAGAACATTGCAAAGCCACTCAACATCAGCCATACTCTTCATTATCTTCTTCTCCACATCCTTGTATTTCATGTCAGGCTCTGAAAGAAGGGAGAATAAGGCCTTCTCGAATGATGTGAAGATCTTGCACAATCCCATTCTGGCCTCATGCTTTATTTCCTCATCGGCTGTGATGATACCGAGAATCTCCTTTTCGCTGTCCCAGAGCATGAACTCCACTTGTTCTTGAGCGCAAGTTCTGAGCTCATCACCAAATGGAGGAGAAGGGTCGTTGATAGAAGTTGCAAAACGGAATGCTGAGAGGAAAACGTCTTTGGTGGCGCTTAGCTCTTCCGGGCTTGCCTTGATCAATTTGGTCATATCAGTTGGTTTCTACATTAATCTCATTTCCCTTATCTCCTTGTGGCATCTATCTGCACATTAGAATTTCAATAAAGGGTATCATGAATCTTTAAATACAACAACATCCAAGACTTAATCCCAAAAGAATTTGGGGTCGGCTAACATGGATCTTTAAATATATTAAAGAAATGGATAAACAAGGGCACTACCGACATCAACAATTCAAAGATGTATGGTTTTCATATTTCCCCCGTGATGCATTTAGCTCTCATCAGAAACATCAAGTGTGTAAAATCCTATTGCGGCAGTGACTCATTTCCAAATTGGTTCGCCAGTTTCTCTTCATGATATTTAATTGATCTTAAACCTTACATTTTAAATACGGAGTACAATAATAATTTCGGAGAACAAACAAGAAAAATATGTTAACCGAACAATTATATCAGGATGAAGGATTTATCGTTGACTCGAGTTAAGAACCAAGAAAAAATCATAAGCCAAAGAAGCCATTTCTATACACATAAGCTTCACAAGAAATAGAATCCACACCTTTGGAGACGTCACGTGGCGGATGCGGAATGAAATGGATTCGGTGTAATTAGTTCTGGAAAAGAGAGAAGCTGGAGTGGAGCTTCATTGCTGAGGTGAAGGTGACGGCGAAGATACACGGCGGAGTGAGCGTCATGGTCTCATGGATGCGGTAATCACCGTTCAAATTTGTTTGGGAATTGGGTCTTGGTGAAGTGATTTATAACTATTTTCAGTCCTTTTAGTGGGTTGAGCTAACTTCATACAGATTCTAGATCAATCTGTCCAACCAAATAACACCAACACTCGCTACTAAACAAAATGTAATTTTAAGAACTATTTTAGTTAATAATAAATTAATTATTTTATTTTCAAAAAACAAAGAACTTCTTTATTTTTACTAGATATTTTATATTCCTTTCGTTTATTACATGTCATATTAGTTTTTTTGAAAAGATGTGTCATATTAGTTATTTTGCAGCGTTTAAGAAGAAAATAACAACTCCAAACATCATGTGGTTTGATGTTATTATTGTGACACTCTCAATGAGGAGGTCAAGGTTCGAAATTCATCCTAGTAAAAAATGTTGACATTTAACAATGAAGTATTGAACATATACTATAAAGAGAGACTACAAAATCTAGCCAAAAGAAGAAGAAAATAATTGTTGGGATATTGGGTCCAGGCCCAATATCCCTAGGCCCAAATCCGGGAAGAAGCAGCAAGCGGGGCCCAAATCCGGAAAGAACTCCCGAACGGCATTCGGGATAAAACTTATACTTGGAACATTCTGGGAAACAATTATGCCAAAGCGTCAAGGCCAGATATCGACCGGTGTTCGGGATACTTCCATCAATTAGATCACCTATGGCAGAGATACCGATCGGCGTTCGGCATATGTTCATAAGCAGGATAGCACCTATGGCGGGGCCCCACACACCGAACACCTTGCCCGAGCGGGCTATCAGCAAGTGGAAGCCGCATTTAATGCTGGATCATGACAGCAGCAAGTGGGGGCGTGGGTTCTTACATGGCAGAGGTGATAGCCTACCAGATTCGACCACATGTCCACCTTACCCATCCCCATTTTAGTATAAATACCCATGTTTAGATCATTGTAAAGGGTTAGCATTTTAATACTCAGAGCTTAGCAATAGATTTACACCTTCTATCCTTGTAATCTCATATTCATCTACCGTTCGGGTAGTCTCAGTATAATCACATATTTATTGAATATCGGTAAGCTTTTGAGTTGAGCAAATATCTCACTGTTTTATATTTTATACACATTTCAACCATACCCAATATCCCTACAATATCCAAGGCTTGTGTTGGGCTTTCGGATCTTCGGGAATAAACCTCAACATTGGCGTCGTCTGTGGGAAACGAAACTAAAAGTTCAAGGAAAACAGCTGGTCTAATCACCATTTTTTGAAATGGCTAGGCTTCATACCGCTACACCGAGTTCTGCATCCAGAGGACGGGGAGGCCATAGATCCTCTGAGGGGTGGTCCAGGCAAGGACACGCCAGTGGCAGTGCCACCCGGGAGTTCGAGCAAATCATCCCCCAGGATGTAAGGATGAACCCTCAGTTGATGAGGGATATGGCGGAGGCCATGCAACGCATGGCGGACGAACAGGAACGGGGCTACACGGATGAAACTCATGAGCCACCATCCCCGTTGCGTCCCATGCCATCTTTTGACGAAGAGGAGGACATCGAGACTACGATGGCCTCAGTTCATTCCGAGGAACGCCGCAGGAACCACTGGAGGGCCCATACCCCCAGACGAGGAGCACCAACCAGCCGAACCCCGTCCGCCCCTCGAAACGGATACAGGGAACCTACCCCCATGATAGATCCCGTTGGACAAAACTTCCAATATATCCAGAGGGATGGGGAACGCTTCATCCGGAGGAGGGCTAACATAGCTGCTCCTCCCCAGAACAGAATACGGGAATGTGTGGATGCTCGGATACCACACACTCCCCGAACGGCCCAAGACGACGAAATGGCCGAAATGAGGAGACAGATGACTGAGCTCAGAGAGCAGGTCAATCGGACGCCCCAACAAACCCCGCCAGCACGGGTTGGGATCACCTCTCCCTTTACTAGGGAAATCATGAACGCCGAAATCCTGAAGGACTGCCGTCCCTCGACCGGCTTAGCATACGATGGGGTGGGAGATCCCCACGTACACCTGAGGAGTTACCAGGGTGGCCTCATGCTATTGGGGGCCACCGACGCGGCAATATGCAGGCTGTTCTTCAGTACCCTTCGGGGACCAGCCCAGGAATGGTTCGGAACATTACAACCCGGGTCGATCGGGAGCTTTGCGGAGCTATCCACCTTGTTCTTGGCTCAGTTCGCCTCCAGCTCAACCCCGAAATTACATTTCGGGTATCTAACCAGTGTGAGGCAAGGGCCTAGAGAATCAATCTCCGGATTCCTCACCAGGTGGAGGACCGAAACCCTGAAGGTGACCGGCATGACAGATGAGACGGCCATCCTTCTTTTCACCGATGCCCTTCAGACGGGAGATTTATACAGGGAGCTGAAGAGGAATCCGGGGACCAGCTACCCAGACATCCTGGAAAGGGCCAGGAACTATGCGGCCCTGGAAGAAGAGATCAGGATAAGGGACCGAACGGCCCCACAACCTCCCACTTCAAGACTGGCAGAACGTCTGGGACCCACACCAGCGGCTGCAGCACCTCATCGAAGGACTACGCGCTTCACCCCCCTGGTCATGTCTATAGCTGGTGTTTTCCATTTGGAACATAACGCTATTCCTCCCCCTACTGACACAAGGCCCGTGATGGGACCTACCCCAAGCTCCTACTGCAGATACCACCAACGGAACGGGCACCTCACGAAGGATTGCCACGCCCTACATGTGGCAATTGAGGACCTGATCCAAAAGGGCTACCTGAGGAAGTATGTCAGCACCAGCCTGAACAGCCCCAATCAGCGCCCTCCCCGATCCAATAGCTGGAAGCGGGATGCCCAGCGGGATGCAGAACCCAGTAATGATTCATACCTTCCCCCTATAGAGGAGGCTGAGGGGTCTGGGAATCCAGGGAAAAAGCCACGATTGGAGGTGAAAGTCATCTTTGGCGGGGGAGAGACCGGGGATACGGCCGCCGAACGCAAGAAATTTGAGCGCAGCCTCTATGTCGCCACTGTAGCTGCACCTCCCACAAAGAAGGGCCGCCTAGAGCCAATCATGTTCGGGGTGGCTGATTTACCCAACTCACCAAGTCCGCACAGGGACGAGCTAGTGGTGAGTATGTGTATAGACAACGCCTTGATCCACCGAGTTCTGGTGGACACGGGAAGTAGTGTGAACGTGCTGTATTTACGCACGTTGGAGAAGATGAAGCTGAAGAAGGACCAGCTGACCAAGCTGAAGACGCCGCTGGCTAGCTTCACCGGCAATGTAATAGAGGCTGAGGGCACCATCCAGCTTCTGGTGGAAATTGGTGATGAAATTCACCGAGCGGCAGTCCGGATGACGTTTGTGGTGGTGGATATTGCATGTGCCCACAACGCCATATTGGGCCATCCGGGGCTAGAAGATTTGGAGGCAATTGCCTCTGTTCGACACTCATGCATCAAATTCCCAACTGACACTGGTGTAGGAGTGGCTCGAACAGATCCTGCCATAGCCCGAACGTGCTACCGGGAAGCGTTGAAACAAATGACCACCCGGGGACAGCGGGTAAACAGCATTGAGGTACAGACCCGGTGTACGGAGTTCGAGGAACGCCCCGAGCCAGCCACCCTCTTAGAATACATCGAGCTTGATTCCCCTCCCGATCGTAAGATTGCGATCGGGGTGGATCTTGAAGGGGGAATCAGGGAGGGGGTGATCACTGCCAGATCAACTGAAGAAGGAGCGAACGGAGGAGTACAGGACCATTGGTGGGAAATGTATGTGGATGGAGCGTCCAGCAGCAAAGGCTGTGGTGGGGGTGCTGTGATCACATGCCCCGAGGGGTTCAAGGCATACTACTCCGTACAGTTTGACTTCAAGGTGACCAACAATGAGGCCGAGTATGAGGCCCTTATTGCTGGTTTAAAGTATGCCAAGGCCCTGGGGGCCAGCAGATTAAAAGTCCGTTCGGATAGTCAGCTGGTGGTAAGCCAGATTAATGGATCTGCCGAGGTTAGGGAAGAACGGCTAAAAGCCTACAAGGAACTGGTTGAGGAAGAAATCGGCAGGTTCGAACAAGTGGTGATGGACCAGATTCCCAGGATCGAAAACAGTGAGGCAGACATCCTATCCAAACTGGAATGCGCCGTTCGGGATGATCATGCCCCGGGCATCCCCCCACACATCCAGAGGTTCGCACGGAAAGAAATACTGACCACACCGGCTACAATGGTTGTGCGGGTAGATGCCGTGTCCTATGCCGTTCCAAGCTGGGTCACCGACTTGACAAATTACCTGAAGGATGGGACTTTGCCGAACGATAAAAATGACGTATACAACCTCACTTGTATACAGCGAAGAGCCCCAATGTTCGAACTAGTGGACGGACAGCTGTACAAAAAGACGTTCGGGGGGCCATATCTGAAATGCCTTCCACCCGATCAGGCAGCCGCTGTGATGGAAGAAATTCACGAAGGTATCTGCTCCAGCCATCAGGGGCCAAAAACCCTGGCTAGGAAAATCATCCTGCAGGGTTACTATTGGCCAACTATTCAGCAGGACTGTTTTGGGCACACAAAGAAGTGCAAAATATGTCAGCTCTACGCACCAGTACCTGGGCGGCCCGCGACCTTTTACACTCCAATGACCATATCATTACCATTCGCTAGATGGGGGATCGACTTGCTAGGGCCCCTACCTAATGCGACCGGAGGAAGGAAGTACATCATAGTGGGGATTGATTACTTCACCAAATGGGTGGAAGCCGAACCCCTGGCCAGTATCACGGATTTTCAATGTCAACGTTTTGTTTGGCAAAATATTATATGCAGATTCGGGCTGCCCGAGCAGGTCATTACGGATAATGGACGACAGTTTGTGAGCAAGAACTTCGAGGAATTCCTCACTAGATGGGGAATCAAGCATTCAAGGGCTTCCGTAGCATATCCGCAGGCGAACGGGCAGGTAGAGAACATGAACAGAACCATCATGGATGGTATAAAAAAGAAGCTCGAAGATTACGCATCAACCTGGCCCGAACAGTTAAACTACGTCTTGTGGACATACAGGACAACTCCCCGAACAGCAACCGGAGAGACACCATTCGCC